TATTAGCTTATTCTTCACATCCAACGGAGCGTTTATAATTCTACATCCAAACATATTTGCCTCTGAAAGCATGTCAAGGACATATTTCATCTGTGATAGGAGAATGCCCTTTCTAGCCAACTTTAATACCCACCAACTTCAATACCCAAGAAGTACTTTAAGGAACCGAGATCATTTGTCTGGAAATACTGTTGTAGGTGCTTCTTCAAACTTTCAATCCCATGTGTATCATCTCCAGTGATCACAATGTCATCCACAAATACAAGAAGGAGAATCCTCTTTCCTGTGATCACAATATCAATCCCCTTAGTGGTCTTTATGTACTCAACAAGAACCAAACTCCTGAATAGCCAATGTAAAATGTCCAACCTATGCTCTTGGAGATTGCTTCAAGCCATAAAATGACTTCTTCAGCTTACACACCTTCCCACAGTTGATTGTCGTGGACGTTGGGCCGTCGTGGGCACTGGGTTGTGGTCGTGGAATAACTGACATATTGCCTAAAATGAGATTTATTTGGTGTTACAGAGAGGACTTCATTGGCCTTATCCACTCTAAATGGGTTGTCCAACACCCCCAATCTCCTCTTAGAATCCTTCACGGGAAGCTTAAAACTATGTAGGGAGGCTTTGAAAGATTGGAATAGAAATCAATTTGGTAACATCTTTGATGGGCTATCCTCCCTTGAAAATGAAATGAAATCTCTTAATCCTCAGTTTCAACAATCTTGGTCAAATGATAGTGTTGCTTCTTTTATCTCGTGCCAATCTGAGGAAAGTATGCATAGACGAAGAGATTTTTTGGAAACAGAAAGCTAGGGTGAAATGGCTGAATGAAGTTGATGCTAATACCAATTCTTTCAGAGGATTGTTAAGAGCATGCATCATTGTGCTTCCATCAACGATTTACTTGACTCTAATAGTCAGCATATTATGGGTGCCCTTGCCATTCATGATGCCTCTATTGATTCGTGTATGAAGCTGCTATCCTTTGAAGAACACTCCATTGATAAACAGCTTATAAATCTGATTCCTCAAGCAGTCACCAATGCTTTGCTTTTACCTCCTTTCTCCATGGATGAGCTCAAGGCTGCTACCTTTTCCATTCCAGCTGATTGCGCTCCAGGTATGGATGGTTTCCCTGGTAATTTCTTCACTTGTATGTGGGAGACTATTAGAGATTCTTTGCTCGCTACTGCTAATGAGTTCTTGCGGAGGAAATAGCTACCTTAGTACTTCACTCATACTTGCATTGTAATGGTTCCAAAGAAATCCCCTTCTTCTACTCTCAATGACTTCAGGCTTATTAGCCTCTGCATTACAGTCTATAAGATCTTCGCCAAGCTTTTGTGTGCTAGATTGGCCCCATTTCTGCCAATACTTATTTCTTCCAACTAGGGAGCTTTTATCAAAGGCAGATATATCACTGACAACATTTCTCTTGCTCAGGAGATTTGTAGAGAAAATGACAAGAGGAAGGCTAGATCAAATGTCATACTAGATTTAGATACGCAAAAACCCTATGATAGGCTTGGATGTGATTCTCTTTGTTGTGCTCACTAGATTTGTCTTCTCCCAGGATTGGATTTCTTTATTTAGAGCTTGCACATGTCATTGTTGTTTTTCAGTGTCTTTCCAAGGGGTTTATAAAGGTTTCTTCCCCTTATCTAGGGAAAGTTCTCTCAAGGGCCTTTGTTGTACACATAACACATTTATCCTCAAAGGAGATATTCCACCACCCCTGTTCCTTGTCCATCTCACCTCCTCTTTGCAGATGATTGTGTTTGCCAATGCTGCCAAAAGATCTATCCTCAAAATTATGCACATTATTAAATAGTACTCCTCTTACTCTGGTCAAAGTCCGAATCAAGTTAAAAGTCAGTTTTTTTCTCCCTTTCAATGCTCCCTCTTCCAGGGTCAGAGTGATCAAGAACGCTACAAATTTCTCTAGAGGATCCTTTCCACTTATTTATTTAGGTGTGCATGTCGGTCCTGGTCAAAGAAAAGCATTATTCTATTAGCCTCTTAGTGACACAGTTAGTAAAAGAATTAAGGGATGGCATGCACATTTATTATCTCAAGGGGAAGGCTGGTGTTAAGTAAACATGTTCTCTCTAGTATGCCCATACATCTTTTAGCTACCACTGTTATACCTAAACAGGTGCTCTCTAAAATTGAGTCTCTGCTTGCTAACTTCTTCTGGGGTATCTTAGATTATGGGAGGTAAAACTCCATTGGCTTGGGTGAAAGAAATTATGCAAACCAAGTCATGAAGGTGGTCTTGGCATTAGAATGCTTTCTGATGTCAAACTTGCTTTCTTACTTAAAACAATGTTGGCTCTTGTGCACTCCAGATTCTATATAAGCCAAGTATATGAAGGTTAGATACAAAATCAATAAAACTCCTCTAACTTGGTCTGGTCCTCTCAGATGCTCCAGAGAATGGAAGGACATTCTGGGTGTTAAATAGACCTTTGCTGACTTTTGTGCTTAGCATGTAGGTGAACGGGATGTCTCTGTTTGGCTGGATAATTGGAACCTTGAGTTTAATTTTGCCTTTCTTGCTCCTATTAAGGAAAGAAAAATTAAACTTAGGAGCTTTTTTTATCAACGTGAATGGAATTTTCAAGAATTACTCCGTCATTGGTCCTGAGCTTGTCACTCTCCTTCGTGAATTTGCTCCCTCTGCCTCTGAGGATGATGATAAGCTGTGCTGGAGACCTGAAAAGGATGGGATCTTTACCACTATTTCTGCGTGGGATGCTATCAAAGTTCATAATGATCATGAGCTTTTGTTTGAACATGCTTGGTCCTCTATCATGCCTCTACAGTCCAAACTATTGTGCTGGAAATTGCTTAGAAAGATCTTGACTCCATAATGCAAAAGAGGGGTATCACTCTAGCCTCCAAGTGTTGCTGATGCTCCAGTCCTGCTGTGGAATCTCTCGATCACTTATTCTCCACTGGTGAATTAGCACAATCCCTATGGTCATATTTTGGCACATTGTTTGGTGTTCCCTGCTACCATCTTCAGCCTATAGCTGCTCGCATGGCTTGGTGGTTTGAAAGATGCAAAGGAAGTTCTCACTTTGCTATCATGGGTTGTTTTGGTGCCATTGCTATTTGTAGGCAAATATGGAGTTTTAGGAATAACACCATTTATGGAGGCATGAAGAAGGGCCATCTTCTTGCTCATTTTGTGATTATTGACACTCTACAGCACTTGGATCCTAACATGAAATCTGAGTGCAAGTCCCCTTCTTTCAGGATGGACTCTCTCTTGTTCATTGGTATCACTCCCAGAAATCCAGCTCCTAAACTTCCTATCTGTTGTACTTGATCTGCTCCCCTCCTGGTCAATATGGTCTTAAGGTTGATGGCTTATATATGGAAGGCAATATTGTGGAGGGAGGCATTATCAAGGACCAGATGGGTTGTCTTGTTGGAGCATATGCTGGACCTATAGGCTGTGGTTCTCCTTTGCACATTGAAGTACACGCTTTGGCTAAGGGGGCTGAGCTCCTGGTTGCTATGAATATTGACTCTGCACAGGCCTGGTCTGCCTTTAAATTTTTGGTTCATGCTCTGCATCATTCCTGTCCTTATTGGCAGCTCCCTACAATTTGGAAGGACCACAAAATCAGCATGCATTCTCATCATATCGTGGTTCAGCATTGCTACCGTGAGAGTAATTATGTCGCTGACTTACTTTCTAAACATGGCCATTCTCTTGATCATCCATTACTACTTTGACATGGATAAGCTGCTAGTTCACATTCGAAATGCTATTGCTAGAGATGCCAATGCAACTGTCTTTTATCGTTTTATCTAATGTTTTATTTCCTTTTTTTCGGCGTTTATGTTTCATGCCCATATCGTCTTTTTGGTTGTTGTCTACTGAACGGTGTCCTATTTCTTTTGTTGCTCTCTTGGTTATGTATGAGTCATACACTCCAAAAGGGGTTTTCGTGTACACAGCTTTTATAAATATTATAATGGTGATTTCTAGTTTAAAAAAAGGTTTATTTCATGCTAGCAAATAGTCTTCAAAAAGGATCTAACTCATTTTTGTGCCTGATGTTCCTAAATGAAGTTCCAATGTTTTTTATTTCTTGGTCAATATGTAATAAATTATAGTTTTTAAGTGTAAAACTTCACAAGACTAACCTTTGGAATTTGGAACTCGACGTCTCATGTTAGTCCACACTCCATGCACAACATAATGTATTTTATCTATAAATAAAAAGAAATATTTCAAGATTTAAAGCTCTAATTTTATCAACTTTCCTTACTATCTTTTGCTACCTATTTTATATTTATCTTACTTTTCTCCCCTCTATTTAAAAATAAAGAAAATGTCCTAACCAATTTGAGCAAAAGGACAGCATCAGATACTAACTTGTGGACATTTTTGGAACACTAATTTACATTAAAAAACTGGACTTTTCTTTTTGATCAGTCGGTTCTAGAACCAACCTCGAGAGTTTCCTGGCACTCGTGAGTCGTGATCTCTTATACAAAAGTGTGCGGGGGTGTGTAAACCTAAAGGATCATGTGAGATGCACAGGTAAATTAATTTAAACTAATTAGAATTGGTTTGAAACCCTTTTTGAATAAGACAGTTTACTTTCAAGGATAATCTCTAATGATTCCTAAGCTGATCCTTTTCATTATTATTTGCTAAAAATAGGGAACCAGTAGGCAGTAACCAATACGCATACGTCTTTTAGTTTATAATAATAGCACAGAAAAAAAAGGAAAAATATGAGGATCCAACACCCATATTGAATTTTCACTACGTAATCCAATGATGTTCTTAAATTTCTGTGTAACCGCAAGAACATAGTTGCATGGAACTCAATTCATTCCGATTCACGGGACGGGTATGGAAGCGTGGTACGCCACTCATTAGCAATCTGATACGAGGGGGTAGGCTTATATGGTATGCTAGGTAACGTGGTACATATTAGGTTTGGGCCTAAAATGCAAGAATTGGAGATTTTGCGATAATCAAATTAAAGAAATATGCTAGTTGATATCAGTAATGATAAAAGAACCTTGAGAATTATGTTGCAACTAAAGTGTGCATACTTTATTTGCATAAATTTTCAAGTTTGTTGTTGTTTATTCTATTGAAAAAGAGTTATTGTTTGTCAAAATCTTAATTGGTTTGAATTCTAAATCGGGTCACTAGAGTTAGTGAAGGGGTCGTGTTCTACCGTTAATCCGAAACGATTGAACCGAGGTTGCGGTTCGCTATTGTGCCCCACGTTCCCAACTTCTATGCGCCAGAATATGCAATAGATTTTCTGCGAAGACCTCCACTTTTTTCATATTTACTAGAAGTGTAGGTTAAATCTTCTTGGTTTACAAGTTGCAAGATCATGGAAATTGGTTTCAAAATCAGAATTCGGTTTCAAGCCTAGGGCTGCCAGATCAGGGTAAATAATGGCCCTTTTATAGCTGGTGATATTTACAAGCAGACAGCAAATCATTAATAGAAGAAATCAAGGGTAATCGAATCCAGATGCAAAAATGTGAAGGGGGTAATAAAAGGCAGATTATAAATTAAAATAGGAACGCAAGGTGAATCATTGTTCTCAATGCAAGATTTGTGGTACTAAAATTAACTTGATGGTGGTAATGACTTCCATAAAAACAAAAATACTAAATAACACCATTTTGCAAACATCTTTGACAACCAAAGACTATAACAAGTCAATTAATGTGCACAGACAGTTTAGATGTGATAGAAACAGCAACAGTTATATTCATTCAAGAGAAAGATGGATTATAAAACAAACAATAGAAATACTCACCTGTTCATGACCTCGAATTTTCATGAAGCCTCGCAGCAACTCCCGTTTGTAATGACAGTCCCCACTAAGATGGTTAGCTCTAATCTGAATCAAGAGACAGAACAAATTGCTCAATCCCATAAGGGCTCCAAGAGCAAACAATTAAGATACTGGAACAAGCACATAAAGTTTAAGTTTTTTTCTTTTTTCTATTAGTCCCACAAATCTTTCATAATTTGGAATTAGTTCCCAAATCTTCATACTTTGAAATTAGTATCCAAATATGTTAATTGTTTTGAAATTAACCCCCAAATCTCTCAACCTGGTGCTAACTAGAGGGACTAATTTGAATAGTGTAAAAAATGCAAACCCGTATTTTTTGCACAATGGTGTTGCTAACATGATTAAGAGGCTAAGATGATGTTGCTATAGTCCAAAAAGGTAAAAGCATCTGATACTTACATTTGAGGTTAAGATGATGTTGCTATTGCCCAAAAAGGTAAAAACACTTGATATTAATGGTTTCAACATTACCTCAGAGCAAGCATGATGAGCACAATTTTTCCAGTCCATATTCTTTGCACGACAATCATCATAAGCAAGTATTAGCTCGTGAATCAGAACTTGGTCGATCTCATCTTGGTAAGTCATGTGATTACAACATACTGATATCTGGAACAATGCAAGAGACTAGATTACAAGGAGTTATTAAATTTAAACAAAGCCAGAATAGGACTACAAATTCTTCCATGACCTATACACAAAAAATAATTACATTGTTGCATCTAGATTCTTACTCGATAACTTGTGAAGAGATTTACCCTTTGAAGCTAACATAAACCTACATCACACATATACCGGCCAATAAATAACCATGACACTGACAAAGAAAATTACTCATAATTATGAAAATAAACAGACAATGGACTCTTATACATATAGGAGTAAAAAAAATCCAAAGGACAGCTATTTATTCACTTGTACTAACAGTACTGTATTTTTTACTTTTTGTAAAGGATAATTCTGATTAAACTACACTCTCCAAAACCTCTCCTACACTACTAGTCTATTACACAAAAAAGTGTGGGGCCCTTCCACTTGGATGGCCATCAAAATCGATGAGTCCACAAGTTTTCTGGGTGTAGTAGTGTGGGAGTAGTTTGAAAAGTGTAGTGCAGTGTAGTTATCACTACTCTTTAGTAAAATGACCAGATGGAACCTCTTATCTCATCGCCTATTTTGAAGACAAAAGAGCCTCACATTTTTGTCATCACTTGATTACAAGAGCTAGTATAGGGGAAAATAATACATTTATCATTTCCTTATTTTATTAACTTCTTTTTTGATATTTGGATAATTCCGGACAAGCTTTTACCAAAAAGGATTACAGTTCACACTAATTCCATTTCGGACAGTTACACTGAGGTGGGTGTGTGTGTGTGTATATATACACACTAGGTTTTATGCACGTGCAATGCACGTAGTTAAATATTATAATTAAATATTTTTAATTTATTTCCTTACTAAAATTTGTTCCTCGGTTCCACTTTGATCGTTTTTGCTCACTTATGCCTTTAAATTTTAACATTGTGATTATTTATTTTCTTTGATGTTTGTTTGAATGGGCTACACCAAATTTAAATTTTTATGTTGATAATTAAATTAACAGGAAACAAATATAATTTAAAGCCAATTAGAATTTTCACGTGATTTGGACCAACATGAAACCAAGCTTGAAAGTATAATGTTGTAAAAGTAAAAATATTTAAAAAAAATAGTGTTATAAAAGAAAGATGAATAATTAAAGCTAAAAAAGCCAAGATGATTAATTAAAAGTTGGCTAAAATGAAACTAACGAGAATATGAAGTTTGTTGCTAATTAATTGATAGACTTCAGAAAAAATCATTGACTAAAAGCTAATGCTAACTCTAGTATATTTTATATGATAAAAGCATCAACATAACCATATAAAAATATTTAAAAGAGTTCATGAAAATCATTTCTAAAAGATTCATGGTTTTACTTAAAAATTTAAGCTATTCTATAAAATATTCGGAATATAAATCTTTTTTTCTTATTTTATTTTTTTATTGAGTTAAGATAAATCATTTTCCATCTTTATCTTTTTCCTGAGCACTTCTAGAGTTATGTCTTCATCATCTATATTAATTGTGACATAAGGCTGGAGTTAGATTTCTTGGGTAATTATTTTTCCCTGAGCTCATTCATGTTTTGTCTTCTCGTCTTACTTCATAAAGAAGTTGAATGCATTTTTGATGTTCAACAAAAATTCTAGAAATACAGACTTTGATTATTTTTGTGTTGTTGAATGCATTTTTGATGTTCAACAAAAATTCTAGAAATACAGACTTTGATTATTTTTGTGTTTCAATGAGACTAAATGTTAATTTCCAACAAAAATTCTAGAAATACAGACTTTGATTATTTTTGTGTTTCAATGAGACTAAATGTTAATTTCATCTATATGAAATTTTTGTTTTTCTAATTTATTTTTTAAAAAGGTTAGGAGTCACATTTTTTCTCTATAATGAATTCTTCTGCTGTGCATCCAATAAGAGTTTCTGTCGCGTTAAATAATGTTATTTTTACTCTATATGTGTCATTTTCCACAATGATCTGAACTAAATAATTGTATTTTTTATTATCAAATTGGCTTAGATTATAATGTTAATATTTAATCGTGATATGTTTATTTCATGAAGAAGGAATATTACTCAACAATGGTACTACTTTATTAGTAATTCTGTGATATTTATCATTTGGAAATTCTTATTAACATCTTTATCCAATCTTCTTGTTGTAGCCTTTGCAAGCTAGAACCACGGCTCAACTTTATTGTAAATAGTAGTTATCTTTACATTATAGGTCTAATAGCGTGTCCGTATATTGGTAGAGTATTTTTAAGTTTAATTGTGAAAATTTTAGAGTAGGTCTTATAAGATCATACCTCTTTGATATTATGATTATTGCATATATCAATAATTTAAATTTGTATTGTATTTGTAAAGAGCCTTGATGGATATGCTTCTATATTAGCAGCTTGTTCTGAATAAGCCATGCGTATTAGCTTTCAAATGTAATATATTTTTTATTGTGTTATATGTATGTTTGCTTAGTTTACTTACCATTCGTTTATTTCTTCAATAAGTTATATCTTTGTGTTGGTATATATTGTTAACACAATTTACGATAACATGCATATTTTCCCTATAAATTTGAGACATATATAATGTGAATTTTATCTTGAGTGACCTTTAATAAAAATTTTAGTAGTAAAATATGTTTACCTTAATATTTAAAGATCTTAAAATCTAATAATGCTATTATGTGCTTATCTTTGATCGTATCTTTAAAAAGTAATCCTCTACTGGTAGTCATATCCTCAAATAAATTTGCTTGCAGAGTCATACCACATATTGGAAAAAGAAAAATATCAATTTTAATTTTTTACTTACGTTATTGTAACTATTTAACATGTATATACCTTTTGTCAATTATAGTGATTTCTCTCATCTTATCTGGCTTATTATATCTCGCAACATAGTTGATCAATAACTTCACTTTAGTTTCTATTGTAAGATAATTTATATGTAATTTTATATTAAGTTTATGATTCATTTAGTTTTTCAAGAATAAAGTATGAAAATTTATAAATACAAACTAATTTTTCTTGTATCTTTCACGATGAATGCTTTTTTTAATTGAGACAAAATTATACCTTTTGTCAATGTCAATTCAAGTGATTCATGAATGTTTTCATATTTTGGGTTTATTTACTTCACTTCTCTATTTGAAATAAAAACAACTTGATTTTTTAAAGGATATCTCTAAACTTTCTGATAGTTTTTTCATGCAAAATTCATTGTATTTTTTCACTCTATAAATATTATCAACATCAAAGATGAATGTTTATAAATTATAATTAATTAATGCTAACTTATTATATTATAGTCTTTTGTTGCAATTTAGTCTTCTATCAATTAATGTTATTACTAAAATTATATGTAGTTTCTTAAATTTATACAGTAACGTTAATTTTTAATCAATCATAAATTTTTAAATTTTCTTAACTGGATAGTTTTAATCTATCGTAATTGTTATTTTTTACTAGCGTCAACTTAGACTACTTTTAGATGCTAAAAAGGGATGATAAACTTTAAATTGAAACTTAAATTTATATATCTTAATGAAATGATATCAAACATTTACTCTTTTCTTTGCCAAATTCCAGCCTTCTGTGATTTTAAACTTTTGAGGGTGTGTTTTGTAATTTTTTTTAACTTTAATGTTATTTTTTTGAAAATTTTAAAATTTATGTTGGATGCTTGTAATTTTTATATTTTATGAGTTGGTCGTAAGTTTTCAAATGTTAAGATGCTACTTTCAACTCTAAAATTTTGAGCGTGTTTTTTACAATTACTAAAACTTTGAGTTGGTTTTAGATAAATTCAAAATTTCAACGATCTGCTGATGATTTTTAGATTTGATGTCTACCGGTTATAAGCTATAAAATTTTAGGAATTTTGTGATTTTTAAATTTTGAGGGAGTTTTTATAGTTAATGTAACTTTGGGGTTATTTATTACAAATTTTAAGTTTTTAAGTGCCTGATGGTAATCCCTAAAATCTATCTATGTTGTTTGCAAGTTTTGAAATCACTAAATTTAGGGTGATTTTTTCTAATTTGAACTTTTGAGGTTGTTTCTACAATTTTAGAAATATTGAAGGTGTAATTGCAATTTTTAAATTCCTCGGGGGCTATTTTTAATTTTTAGATTTCATGTTTGTTGATTTAAGTTTTGAAAAGTCAAGGCGTTTTTGGTAAATTTGAACTTTTAAAGATATTTTGTGTAATTTTTGAATTAAATCTTAATCTTATTTTTTAAAATGTTGAGCCATATGTAGTTCATGTGGGGTTAATATAGGATACAATTAGTAATTAGATAGATTAAGATTTAAATAAAAAAATTAGAATAATATTTCATGTAGTTTCTTAATATTTTTTAAAATTGTTGAGTTATAAATAGTTCATGTGAGATTAGATAAGATATAATTAGAATTAGAATAGATTAAATTTAAATATAATATTCAAAATAGAGAATGGTAATATTGACCATAGAAAGATTTTCCTGAACTCGTGCTTTTAAAGGGAGTGTTATATATATATATATATATATATATATATATATATATATATATATATATAGAGAGAGAGGAAGAGAGAGAGAAAATCTTAATGTAAACTTAAGTGGATAGGAGCTAGTCATCCACACAAGTTTTTTATCCATTGATGTTGTCTTGGGATCCGTGAAAGATATGTAGAGTCTTTTGAGATTTGTGCATCTCTTGATGACACAAATCTAAAGACAAGATGAGTAGATAAAAAGTTTGATGGACAATGCCTCCTATCCACTAAGTTGAGTTGACATAAAACTCATTTCTCTCTCTCTCTCTCTCTCTCTCTCTCTATATATATATATATATATATATATATATATATATATATATATATATATATATATATATGAGAAATATGAAAAACCTTGTACCAGTCTTTTATTGAACTTGTAGTGAGGTGGTCAAATCTAGCCCCTACATCATGCCTCGGAGATGGAGCTCTTTTTTAAAGTAGGTGAATAGTAATTGAGCTCTCTCTCCGAGGCATGATGTAGGGTCTTGATTTGGCCACCTCACTACCAGTTCAATGGAGAAACTTGGTAACAGGTTCTCCCATAATTTCATATATATATATATATATATATATATATTATATATATATATATATATATATATATATATATATATTATATATATATATATGCTCTATATCTATCCTATTTCTATATTCGGTCCTCAAATCTTCATATTTGTTCAAACCAAGGATATTATTTGAACCAACTTCATACATTTGGGGTTGTTAAGTAACAAATTAGGAGTGTTACTTGAAACCCAACTTGTATGGATATGGGTACAGGTGCACGGGCATGGCAAATTTGTAAAATGTAGGGTACGGGGAGACGGCTAAAACGCATGGGTTGTAATCATAATTCTGAGCTAGATACGCATATAACCATATGAAATCATTATTCTTAACTGAATATCGGCTGAAACGAACTCAGACCCTTGTCCAACAAGTTTAAAAATGGACGTGAAATGTAGGCTAGATGTCCAAGGAGTGTACAATGAGTGTTTAAATCAAGACATGCATTGTTATAACTGAGTACACGTCTGAATAAATATACGCATATATTAAGGAGTGTCGTCGGGTACGGGTATGACTCCATGCAGCAGTACCCAGGTAACATAGTTTAAAACAACCTATGGATACGGAGGGTGTAAATTACAAATATGAAGATTTGGGGGCATAATATAAAAATAGGACGGAATAGGGTCCAACACGAGCAAAATTCAAAAGGTAATATGCTAATTTCATAGCAAAAAATCACCCCATTTCTACTAGAATAACCACCACCCAAGCTTTGATTCTTGCAATTTGCGGCACGAATAAGGCGGACCCAAAAAGGGCAACCAGCCTTCTCCATGTTCTCCCTCAAGAACTTCACCGTCGGATCTGAAAACGAAACAACCAACATAAAATTATCATCCCCAAAGTAAAAAAAATTTAAGAAAAAGGGGGGATTTTTTTTTTTTTTTGTAGAAATACTACGCTTGAGGCTCTTGTTGATCCTCTCCGAGCACTCTTTTTGAGACATTCCAGCGTATGGGTTCTCTTTCTCGATCCCCGTGCTCTCCTCCGGCGGCGGAGAAACGCCCGCTCCCCCCATAGCGGCTTGAGCGAGCGAGCTCTTTGCACTGTGATTTTGGACTGCAGAGGGACTTTAGGCTGGGTCGGGCTGTAATTAGCCTATAAACGGATGGTTCGCTTTTGGATCTAACTTAATGAATATCCGACCCGATACCACACATCTGATTTCTTAGAAGCAAATTTCCGAAAAAAAAAGGGAAAAATGTGTCCAGGCCCTAAAAACAGAACCTTCATGTACTGCAGCCCCTCCTAGTTTTCCTCATATGGTTCAGCCCTTTGAAATGTGACATTTTGTGCTGCAGCCCCTTTTTAGCAATTATTACATGCCAGATAAGCTAAAATCCCCAAAATAACCTTATCCCCTCTCCTCAATCCTTCAAACTCTCTCTCTCTCTCTCTCTCTCTCTCTCTCTCTCTCTCCTCTCTCTTTAAAAACAAGGGCTTTCTCAAGCTCGTCGTCTTGGCCCTCGCCCTCCTCGCCGTCGCCACCTCCGCCCAGGCACCCAAGCCTCCCCCGAGTTCGCCGCCGCCTCCCCTCCTTTCCTCCGCCCGACCTCGTCGCCGTACTCCCCGTCTCGTCCTTCAAACCCAGGTTTCTTTCTTTTTCCGCCAGTTTCAGTCTCTGTTTTTCTCACTTTCATCCATGAAAACTGTGTTCTGTTGGTGATCCAGGAACAAAAGGAACAAACCCTCTTCCTCCAAATACTGGACGCATGCAGGCATCATCGAACTTCCGCCAATAGTAATGAACAGTGTGAGTTGATTTACTGAGGAGCATTTGGATGCTTGAAGGACGGAATAAATTATGGTGTGATTTTTTGTGTGTGGCTGATTGCGTTCATTGATGTCGAAGCTACCAGTTTTGTATTTTATACCACGTTAGTAGAACTAACACGCTACAGAATAGAACTAACACTGTGTAGATTAGAACTAACACGCTACAGAATAGAACTAACACTGTGTAGATTAGAACTAACACGCTACAGAATATAACTAACACTGTGTAGATTAGAAATAACACGCTACAGGGTTAGTTCTATTTTTATACTAAGTTAGTTCTATTTTATACCACGTTAGTTCTATTTTATACCAAGTTAGTAGTTCTATTTTTATACTAAGTTAGTTCTATTTTATACCACGTTAGTTCTATTTTATACCAAGTTAGTTCTATTTTATACTAAGTTAGTTTTATGTTATAACAAGTTTAGTTCTATTTTATACCAAGTTAGTTCTATTTTATACTAAGTTAGTTTTATGTTATAACAAGTTAGTTATAATTTTATTACAAGAAAAATGTCATTTTGGAACTTTTGATTAACCGGAACTGAGTAGTTCTGGTCCTGCTTTGGATGAGTCACAGGCAAACTGGTAAGTGCTAAATGGTAATTATTCTCCCCAAACCTTCCATGTTTCTTTGAAACCCAAGAGAGTACAAAGAGGGAAAAAGTTGAAGCTTTTTTGTTTATGCCAGGGCTAGAAGAGCCTAAAAAGTGGTTGAGCCCATCAGAATACAAGATACATAACAGTGCAAGAGAGCCACATTCTGCGTAGGATTACAGGCAAATTTCACCCATCAGAATACAAGATACATAACAGTGCAAGAGAGCCACATTCTGCGTAGGATTACAGGCAAATTTCACCTAAACATTCGATTGTTCTGCACAAATTGATAAGATAGCTGTGAATACTTGAAAATTATGGTAGAGGTAAAAACTGGGACAAAATTACAACATATCAGTACTCATCAGAGACTAGGAACCAAACTAGAGGATGCTATGAATGAAGGCTTTGCATTAACTATCCTAAATGAATTGAACTATCAAACCTTTTTCTCTGCTATCATCTTCAAGTGAAAATGTGGGCATCCGCAGACCAAAACCATGTGCCATGCCACCATCAAATTTATCAAAAAAAAAGAGTGGCCTTGTGCCTGCAGCCCCTCCATTTTGACTTTTCTTGGGCATCATGCACTCTTTTCTCTTGGTTATCCTCCTCCGGCCTACCATACTATAGGGTTCAAAAGTGGCAGGCGCAGCGGCGAACTCCGGCGTAGTCGAGGGCGAGACGGGGAGCGACGGCGCTTGTAAGAGATCGACATATGCTATTGCAAGCAAAGCTTTTGGATGCTTAGGAACTAAAGCTAGAGCCTCAGAAGCAAATCTGCTAGCCTTTTCAAGATCTCTTTGAATTGCAAACATTGCTGAGAAATTAGCAAAAACAATCCCACGAGCCTCCTCAGGCTTCAAGAACATCAAGCTCTGGGTATCTTCGGCATTATTTTTAGAAGGCAAAGAACTGTTTGAATCTTCAAAATCATTAGCCCCTCTCTTTGAGAACCACTTTTCTCTATCCTCATTACCATAAGGCAATTCGACATTGTTGCCATCTGTGAGGTATACTGATAAATATTCTGCTGCTTCTTTAGATCGGTTCAGCCAACAAAGTGCTTCAGAGGCATAAGTGTGACCGAGAAAGACATAAATTTTGGAACATTCTGGAAGATCGAGGAGTGATTTTGAAAAAGAAAGAGCTTTCAAAGGGTTTTCTAAGCATAACTCAACGTAAGCTAGGGCTCCAAGAACTGCTTGCCTAATCATGTGATTCTCTTCTCTCCTCATGTCCTCATATGCAGAAACAGAGCTCTGCAATATGGAGGATGAACTCGAAGTACCCTTGTTTTCTTTTGAATCTCCATTTGCTTTTGAGTCTCCTGTCGATGCATTCTTGTGGGTTGAATTCTTGCCGGATTTTACCTGATCAGATTCCTCCTGATTCAAGGCAGTGACCGAATCACCTGATTTAATTGCTTTCTGCTCAGTTTTGTTCAATAAGATTAACACATTTTGCAGACAATAACGAGCAAATGGAAGGGAGAGCTTGCATCCATTGGTATTTTCTGAGTTAGAATATCCATCTGTTGACTTCAAATCATCGATAACTAATTGTCTCCATCTGCCTGAACCAGCAACATGAACTCTTATGTCTTCACCCTTTGATCCCAAAAGCCCCTTCTCTAAAGCCATGAGACAGCATTCAGCAAGACGAAGCCACAGGAGAGGCCGGTTGTAGAAAATCAAACTGGATTTACCAAAACACTTAGCTGCAACCAATGGTTTTCCACAGGCCAGGTGCTGAATCCCACAGTTGTATATGATGTAGAACTAACACTGTGTAGATTAGAACTAACACGCTACAGAATATAACTAACACTGTGTAGATTAGAAATAACACGCTACAGGGTTAGTTCTATTTTTATACTAAGTTAGTTCTATTTTATACCACGTTAGTTCTATTTTATACCAAGTTAGTTCTATTTTATACTAAGTTAGTTTTATGTTATAACAAGTTAGTTCTAATTTTAACCCCATTAGTTCTAATTTTAACCACTCTCTGTGCGCCTCTCTCATTTGGGTACCGTGGGCTCCAACCAAACAAGTACCTAACAACAAATAATTACAACAAATCACAGTCCTGCTTTGGATGAGTCACAGGCAAACTGGTAAGTGCTAAATGGTAATTATTCTCCCCAAACCTTCCATGTTTCTTTGAAACCCAAGAGAGTACAAAGAGGGAAAAAGTTGAAGCTTTTTTGTTTATGCCAGGGCTAGAAGAGCCTAAAAAGTGGTTGAGCCCATCAGAATACAAGATACATAACAGTGCAAGAGAGCCACATTCTGCGTAGGATTACAGGCAAATTTCACCTAAACATTCGATTGTTCTGCACAAATTGATAAGATAGCTGTGAATACTTGAAAATTATGGTAGGGGTAAAAACTGGGACAAAATTACAACATATCAGTACTCATCAGAGACTAGGAACCAAACTAGAGGATGCTATGAATGAAGGCTTTGCATTAACTATCCTAAATGAATTGAACTATCAAACCTTTTTCTCTGCTATCATCTTCAAGTGAAAATGTGGGCATCCGCAGACCAAAACCATGTGCCATGCCACCATCAAATTTATCAAAAAAAAAGAGTGGCCTTGTGCCTGCAGCCCCTCCATTTTGACTTTTCTTGGGCATCATGCACTCTTTTCTCTTGGTTATCCTCCTCCGGCCTACCATACTATAGGGTTCAAAAGTGGCAGGCGCAGCGGCGAACTCCGGCGTAGTCGAGGGCGAGACGGGGAGCGACGGCGAGCTACCACGACGAGGTCGGGCGGAGGAGAGGAGGGGAGACGGCGACGAACTCGGGGGAGGCTTGGGAGCCTGGGCGGAGGTGGCGACGGCGAGGAGGGCGAGGGCCAGAACGACGAGCTTGAGAAAGCCCTTGTTTTTAAAGAGAGAGGAGAGAGAGAGAGAGAGAGAGAGAGAGAGAGAGAGAGAGAGAGAGAGAGAGAGAGAGAACTGGGTTTGAAGGATTGAGGAGAGGGGATAAGATTATTTTGGGGATTTTAGCTTACCTGGCATGTAATAATTGCTAAAAAGGGGCTGCAGCACAAAATGTCACATTTCAAGGGGCTGAACCACATGGGGGAAACTAGGAGGGGCTGCAGCACATGAAGTTTCTGTTTTTTAGGCCTGGACACATTTTTCCCAAAAAAAAAGAAAACATTATTTACATTTTGGTGTCGTGAGGTATGGCGTTGTTACTTGGGTCGTCCTGGAGTTTGGATATCTAGATAGGTAGCTCGGAGTACTTATTGTAGCTACACGGGTGGCCTTGGAGCCCAGACAAAAACGACTCTTAGATTACCCATGAAATTGATCAATAACCTTAAAGTTGCCCATATATATACACAGACTCCAGGGTCGCACATATAATTACATCATACCTCAAGGTATCAAGTTGTAATTAATCTAGAAAAAGAAATAAGAACAAAAAAAAATAACTAAGAAATGTGAGAATCAATTTATGTAGTGGCGGTGTGGTTGCTTGTTGAACCCACAATGTTTGTCTATTGGTGAAGTAACATTCAATATGTTACTCGGAATTTCTTTGTGAGTTATTGTTGTTGTTGTTGTCGTCATCATCATCGTCCTTGACGATAAAACTACTATTGGACAAATTTTCAAAACCGACCCATTTCATGATTTAATTGCAAAAAACGACCCGTTTCTATTTTATTTATAAAAACCGACCCAGTTGGTTGAAACTGGGTCGGTTTTTGAAATTTTTTTCCCAAACTTCACGGGAGTTCAACTCCCGTGAAGTTTTATTATAAGAAAAAACTTCACGGGAGTTCAACTCCCGTGAAGTTTCGTAAAGTTTTTTTCAAAAACCGACCTGGTTTCAGCGACAGTGCTGAAACCAGGTCGGTTTCTCTAAATAAAACAGAAACGGGTCGTTTTTGACAATTAAATCATGAAAAGGGTTGGTTTTGAAAATTTGTCCAACTATTATTATTAGTATGAAATGAGGATTCTCCGTAGGCTAGTGGAAACCACTACATTAATTAGCTAAATCAACATTCAGAAACACAGTGTAGCTCATAAGGTAGCTCTTCAAGCCAAACACTCGCATTATTTATTTGTTGCCTACCTATAAGAAATTCCAATCATCATGATATATACCGTGAGTTTATTATTATTTATTATTTATTATTATTATTATTATTCAGTTGTTTTGTGTCTTATAGCTAGTTAAACAAAAAAAAAATAATCTGTTCTCCATGGTTCGATCTCTTTGCTTTTGAGTTTTTATCAAAAGCACGATTCCGCTGTAGAACTTAAAACAGTGAGCGCAATTGTTCAACAATAATTGCTATTAAGTTCTAAAAAAAGAAAAGAAAAACTTCAAATAACTTGCTAAAGATTGACAATAAGAAATTGCCATTGATCTGTACAAGTCTCTGCAGGCTAACTTTCCTGAAGGGGGTGTTTGGTTCAATAGTGAGCAAGAATAGAATTAGGAATTTTTATATTTTTTATGGATTCCTAGCTAATTCATAAAAAAATTTTATGACAATTTTATGTTGTCATGGAATTCTTTTTTTTTTTTCATTTCTATGTTTGTTTCATAACATGAAAAAATAGAATCCAAATTTATAGAAACCCTCCAATTCCTATTCTTTAGTTTGGTTTGGAATGAGAATATGATTTGATCTCATAATAATATAGGGTTTGTGAAGAAACGGAATCCGAAAAAAAAGAGAGGAAAAATAGTACAAATACGTGAGCTTTTGATGTAGGACGCTTAATTTGAGTTGGAGTCTATTTAGATTAGGAAATATAGAATAGGAAATAAATTCAATTTTAGAGTCAGATTAGATTAGGAAACAAAATCAATTTTGATTCATGATTTGCTTCTTCTATTATAAGGAGTCTTTTTAGGATAGAATTTGACACTTTCTTTCTTTTTTATAATTCTAGTCTTACTAGGAGTCTTATTTGTTTTTCTATTTAAGAAGAGTCATGTAACCCCAAAGGAGAATAACTTTTCTTCAATAAAATTTATCTTTTTCAATATTTTCTTCGTGGATTCGAAGTTCTTCGTGGATTCGAAGATCGTTCTTTGTGGATTCAGAGAACACCCTTGGTGGATTCCGAGATTATCACTTCCGCGCTGCGTCAATTGGTATCAGAGCCTTATTCCTCCGATCCGATGGCAGGTGATGAAGCCTCTATTTCTCGAGCTGAGTTCGACGTGCTGAAGGCTGGTGTTAATCAGATGAAGACTGCCGTAGAGCGACTAGCGTCGGCAGTGGAGCGTCTGAACACAGTAGGAATTCAAAATCGCGTTGATGGTCGCCAACAACGTGATCCGACTCCATATGATAAATTGAACAACGACAATGATCTTAAGCAAGACATTAGAGTTGGGAAGAATAGTGAAGAAGTAATAAAGAAAGAAGAACCACCTCCAGAGCATAATATCTTTCGTACGAGATGTACCGTGATGCAGAAGATTTGTAATGTTATTATTGACAGTCACAATGGAAGGAATCTTGTCTCTCGGCGTATGGTGAATAAGTTAGGTTTGAAGACAGAGAAACACCCACCTCTCGTTAAGATCGACTGGATTCACAAGGGCAATGATGTGCAGAACGATGAAGTGTGTTGGGTATCTTTTTCTATTGGTCGAACTTATTTTGATGAGGTTTTGTGTGATGTTGTCGAGATGGATACTTGTCATATGCTTTTAGATAGGCCATGGCAATTCAATAATGGAGCTACTCATAAGAGCAGAGACAATGTTTATATGTTTAAGAAAGATAGACGACGAATTATGCTCAAGCCTCTTACAGAAAAAGAGCCATCTAAGATAAAGACTACTGAGAAGAAGTAACTCTTAGTGACAAACAATAATGCTTTAACAGAAAACTTGAAGCAATCTGAAGAGGTCTGTGACTTGGTTGTAACTGAAAAAGAAGGACATGCCTCTACCGAAATTCCTCCCAAGGTGCAAACACTCGATATGCATGAAATGCATGATGGTGATATGATAGTTAAGATGGATGATATGCATGATATTCTTAAAGTGGTTGAGAGTGATATTCAACATATTGATGTTGTCCCGATAGAGGAGAATGATAAAATAGAGAGTGAGACAATTGATGGTATGTGTGAATTGCTTGGTGGAGGGCTTGAGGCAAAGAAGATGAAAGAATTATGTATGGAGTATGAGGGAGAAAATTCTTTTTTGGAAGCAATGATCATCAATAATATTAACAACAATGATATAATACCGCCGACACTAGAATATAGGAAGCAACAGGGAATATATTTAGAAGAGTTTTTCATGCCAACTACAGAGCCACATGTTGCCAATTACATACACATGTCATGGGAAAGATTCATACACGAGTTTTATACAGAAGAAGCCCTAGCAGAGGAGACAAAACAACATATGAAGAAAATCAACGCTAAATATAAGGCGGATGCAGATCATTGCAAGAGAAGAAAATTATTTATCAATGAAGCTACTATTCTAACAAATATAAGCTCGAGGTCGAGCTTCTTTCAACAAGGGGAGACTGATGTAGGACGCTTAATCTGAGTTGGAGTCTATTTAGATTAGGAAATATAAATTAGGAAATAAATTTAATTTTAGAGTCAGATTAGATTAGGAAACAAAATTA